TGTATCAAGAAGGAAAATTACAAAGGATAATAGAAAAACATTACACTGCTCTCAAGAAACAGTTTCAATAATAATTTCAAAGTTTAAAACATTTGGAACTGTGAAAAATCAGCAATAGGTTGGAGAAACAAGATCCACAATCAAGAGAGATGACCGTAAGTTAATTTAAATTGTGAAAAAAAAAACAGATTTTTGTCAAGCAGCATTAATTCAAAATGGAGAGAGACAAGTGTTAATGTATCAGACATTACAGTAAGGAAGAGACTAGCAGAAAAAGATTACCACTCAAAAACTCAGAACAAAGCTCTATATAAAAAAAAAAACAAAAGAAAAAATCATTTGAAATGGGTGAAAACTCAAAGACTGGAGTGTTTGACTGGTAACAAGTTATATTCACCGATGAATCAAAAAATATGTATTGGTTATGGTAATGATGGCAGCACATCAGTATACAGATCAGATGAAAATTTCCATCCTGACTGTTAAAATTCATCAGCAAAATTTCCTAAAAGTATAATGATGTGGAGATGTATAATCTGTAAAGGGATTGGTGAAATGACAATCCTTGGTAGTATATTGAATGCTGATGGTTACTTGGAATTATTAAAATCTTTAGTGTTAAAACATGAGGAGATCACTTTGGTTATGAGGATTTCATCTACCAGGATGACAATGCATCATGCCATAAGGCTAGACAAATTAAGCAATGGTTTCAAGAACATAACATAAAGCATTTAGAATGCCTGTCAACAGTCCAGATGTATCGCCCACTGAAAATGTTTTTAATATTCTGAAGAAAATGATCTCTTAAAAAAGAGCTGTGCCAATAGAAGAATTAAAGAAGACAGTCAAAGAATTATGGTCACAAGTTGATCCAGAGCTGTGTAAAAAACTTATTTCTACAATGCCACAAAGAATTAAGACTGTAATTAGGGCAAAAGATGGCCCTACAAAATCTTAATCATCATTATTCCATACTTTTGTTCAACTCTACTTTGTTTAAAATGCTATAATTTTGTATTTTATGCAAATATCTGTGTGAAGTTTGGTGTGTAAATAACTTAATATATCTATTATATTCACCAATTATTAAAATTTCAACAATATTTTTGTAAGTTTGATTATTTAAGGATCAAAATAATTTTTCTGCAGCAATTACAAAATAAAATATTCTATACTTTTGTTCAGAGGTAGTAGTAAAATTTAAAAATGAATATGGCTTGCAAGCATTTTCTGGTAAAATCCTTCAACTTAGTGTAAAAACTCAAAAGCAAAAAAAATCTTAAATGTTTTAAGACTACTTATCTTCAACTTCACTATTTTACATATATATACAGTATATAGTATTGTAGTATTGAAGATAAGAAATATATATGTTATAAGGTCATTTACAAAAATTTAAATGTATGAATAATACATATAAAAATAGTAGCTAATAAAATGCTGAAATTTCTATTCTTATTAATTATATTTTTATTATATATATATATATTATGATCAAGTTCAAAGTAACAAAGAAAAAAAACATATTGGCAACTATTAACATTTATGATGAATTTCAACTTCATTCTGATAAATCAAAATTGTACATAAAGAATAATTGAAGTGTGGGAGAATATTTTAAAATATTCTCCTACACCAACAGGTATTCCTTGCTTAATGCGGTTCTGGTTAACACATGAAATTAATTGCAGCAATCCCTTTATAAATGTGGTGGGAATTTTAATTAATGCTGCTTTAACAGCTATCTTTATTTAACGTAATGTTTTTTTCAGCAAATAAGGTGTTGGTGAATTTGCTATTTTCTGCTTAGGGTGATTTTTGATATAGATGTGTATTTAATTATCATAGTTGTGAAATTTTACACATTACTGCTAATGTTATATTGTATTCTGTGTTCAGAAGCTTATTTTAAAACTTTATTCACATTTTGTTTGCATAAAATCAAATCAAAATGTCTGCAGATAAAATACATAAAAAGCATACATAATATGTTTGATATGTTTTATAAGGGATATAATGCTATATAAACAGTAAAAGGTACTCAGTGTGTATTGGGAAGATGCTCGAAATGCTAGGCATGTCAAATGTGGATTTGAAAGTGTTGTTCAGGAAATTTTGAAGTAAAGATACAAAACATATGGGCCTCCCAAAAGCTGTGGACAAAATTTCAGGAAGAAATTGTTAAAAATCAATGAGTAACAACTCTTGAACTTGTAACAAATCTTAGTGTATCACTGACACGATGATTGTGTTTTGCATACAAGAATAAAAAAAAAAACAAACTGGACTGAGTATAATTTTGTCTGATGAAGGTAGGCAGTTGTAAGATTTAATTTTATTTTTAAATTAGTTACACATTTTTATCATAGAAAACTTTTCTTAAGGATGACAAAATTAAACTAAAAATATTTATTAACTGAAAATTTTGTTTTAGTGGATCAGGATTGTTCAGTCGAGTACCAATGTACCACTGTATTTGATTAATATGATTTGGATATATACAGTAGCATCGAGGGATTAATTAATCGCATTAATCAAGGGATACCTGAAAGGATTGATTGATTTGATTTTATTTGAAAGGAGTGATTGATTTGATTTTATTTGAAAGGAGTGATTGATTTGATTTTAGTTGAAAGTGATGTGATTGAAACTGACCTTTTTGAAATGGCAAGAGTTAATATAAGTATGCCCAAATGTTTAGAATACAAAATCATAGTCTAGAAATTGTTTTATTGTATAACTAATAAAATAAACTGTGAAATAAAGAAAATCATATTATAAACATTAAAATAGCTAGGAAAAAATATGTTCATAGATATTAAAATAAACTTTTTCAGGATACAGATTCTTCACTAGCACCCATTGTAAAAATAGATATTCCACGTGATTCTCTATCGGAATTTATCACAATTTCAGAATATGAAGTTCCTTTAGATCCGAATTGGGAATTTCCAAGGGAAAGGTTAGTATAATATTTAAACAATTAAAAATGAATATAAATTTTTCATGTATAACAATTTCGTTTTTAAATTGGATTTAATACTAAACTATTCCATTAATAAAATTAAAAGATTCTATTCAAATGATGAGATCTTTTAATAAGTTTTTGTTTTAAAAAAATTGCCATCATCAAATCTGTTCTGTTTTTTTCTTATCTTTTAGCTTTATTTGATATGTCCTTGAATATTATACACTTCACAATAAATTTTCACTCATTCATGAAAATTTCTTTTGATGGATAATATCAATCTTATTTTTGTATCTGTTACTCTGGAGACCAAGATGAATATAGACAAAAGGATTAGAAACCACTTTGTCTTAATAATTTTCAGTATTCATTTTGCACATATGCAAGAAATCTCGAATTTATCTTGCATACTGTCTGTGAGATATTCTGTATTCTATTTTTTTATTTTTTAACACAGATTAAACATTTATATTTTTACTTTAGAATCCTACACTTTTTTAAAAATTAAAATTATTTATACAACAGCTGATTCATTTTGATAGATTTGGCTGTAATACCAGATGAAAGTGAATATGATGTCATAACATTATATCTATTGATTTTCAAACAAAAATCTTTTTTTTAAAAGAATTTAAAGAATGAATAAATATTTAGCTAAACAAAAAATTATAATACAAATAATAATTTATCTTTTAAAATTGTAACTTTCAAATACATATATACATATATAAACATAATTAAATTATGTTAGTCTTTTTCTAGCTAACACATGCACAGTGTTTTGTGTATTTGATTAAACAAGATTCATATAAACTTGCTAAATAAAGTCAATTGTTAATATATTTCTAGTCAGTTTGCAAAAAAATTTAGCTGAGAAATAATTTGTGTATTAAACTGTTTATAGCATAAGTGATTTGAAGAATTAAAAATTAACATATCAATACATATTTTCCATATTATAACAATATAAAATTGCCACTATAAGTGAAATCAAATCTAATACAAAATGCAAATAAATTCCAAAACAATAGTCACCAAAGTAGAATGAAATATTTTAATTTTGTTGCTTTTTTGGGATAATTTTTTTTTCATTAACTTTAAATGAATATGAATTTAACTGGTAAAAACTACAATTAAATCTAGAAGATGAAGAAGAGCTTTGGTTTTTATGGAAATTTGTACATAAGATTTTATCAACTTTCCTTTGTAACTAATCTGAAAAATAATAAAAAATGTATTTATATAATATTAAGATGAAATGTTTTCTAGAAATAGCTAAATTATAAATTCATTTTATATCTTGAAAATATGAAACTTTGAGAAAAATTGTTAAAATGTGTAAATCATTTTATTGTCATTAGTGTCTATAGCATTGTATTTTGTGTTTGATATAAACAAGATCATTTTTATTTACTAATTATCAATTTATAAACAAATAATGTTAATTAATAATCTATTATTAATAATTAAACTTGTCACTAGATACATTACATGAAATTTTAATAAAAGATGGCAGTGTAACTAGATATCATAAAAATTTTAACTAAAATTTATTAAATTCTTTCCAAAAATTATTCTTTAAGTATTAAGAGTTTTACAATATTCTGTAGTGAGAAACTTAATCCTAATTTTTCTTTTCTTGTAGAAAAAGTTTTTTTTTCTTTTATGATTTGATGATTTAAAATTTATTCCTATAATAATTTACTAAAGTTGTTATGTACTAAAAATAATTAAGATTTATTTTTATATTTAATAAAAAGATGATAATTTACTAAAAATTATTATATTTTAATGTGTTATATTTATTTTATGATTCATATCTTGTAAATTTGAATAATCTAAAATATTAAATTCATAAATCTTTTATATATTTAAAGTTTTAATGTCATTAAAGGTGAGGAAATTATATATCAAAATATGATGATTTTAAAAATTTACATTGATAACAATTGACACTTATTTATTTTGAAAAAATTATTAAATAGGTTAAAATTGCACAAAATAATTAAAGAATTTGAAATATTTTTAGATTAGTACTTGGAAAGTTATTAGGACAAGGAGCATTTGGACAAGTGATGTTGGCAGATGCTTACGGGTTAAATGACAAAGAAGGGATTACTGTTGTGGCAGTTAAAATGCTGAAAGGTTATTAATTCAATTACTAAATTATCATTTTTAAAATTTTTATTAATGTAATTTTCTGATTTATGAATAGATGGACATACTGATAGAGATGTAACTGATTTGGTATCTGAAATGGAAGTTATGAAGACAATTGGGAAACATGTGAATATTATTAATTTACTTGGTTGTTGCACTCAAGATGGTAATTCATTTATTAATTTGAAATAAAATTGATTATCCAAAATTAATTTAAGATATTATATAAATAAATTTGGGATTGTTAATTTTTTATTAATATTAATGTTCTAATTTTTGACAAGTCTGTCTTGTTTATAAAATCGTACTGCCAGTCAGTATTACCAGCTTAGAGATATGAAGGAGTACATGTTGAGAGTTGATATTTTGCACAGAGTATTAGGTGCCCAAATCATATGTGCATAAAAAAATCCTGACTTGTAGGTAGTCGGGACCAGAATCGAGTAAAAATAAAATACAAAATTGTGACCCTCTTCTACAAACAAGCAAAACAGCCACCTAACCCCACCGAAGGCAGATAGGGGAGAGTACCACCCACAGTCATTCTAAGAAGTGAACTTTGACCTTAGGACTAAACACATACTTTCTTCTATGTTAAATAAAATTTGTAATCTAATTTTGTAAATTAGGGAGTGCTTCAAATATGACATTAAAACAGTTTTATGTTGATACAAGTGGGTTTTTTTTAACATTATCTAGTATAGTAAAATCGTGGGACCAATAAAAATTTGACGTGTAGGGCAGAGGGTACCACCACATGACCTTTGCCCTTTGACCTCACTTTGCTCCTAAACTCTAACGAGGAGCAACATCTTTTTACTTCATTCAGTTAACCTTTCGATTCGACATCCATGCCAATCTTGGATTTATGTAATATCTCGACACTATTGTAAATATCGTGTAGCTGATACAAATTAAGTAAAAAATTATCAGTTTCTCAGTTAATTTTTACTGACAGAACAAAAGATGCAGAACACGTGGTTGAGATCATTGTGGACATCACGGACAAGGTAGGAGAGACATTTTTTCACTTTACGTTAATTAACCAATTCGAATCGGCAGCCATGCCAATCTTGGATTTGTATTATATCTCGACACTATTGTAAATATCGCATAGCCAATCCAAATGAAGTAATATTCATAGAATTGTAAATTAAAGATTGCTCAGTTCTATATTTGAGTTACTAAAACTCAATATATGATTTCTTAGAAAAGGTCAGTCATAATAAAATAAAAAATTATGAGAAATTATTTTATTGTGACATTGTCGCAATGCCAGGCTGCAATTTTTTAATCATATTTTTAATTTATTTACTTTAAAATATATGTTCTCCATCTCAAATTAATAGTCTCTTGCCCTGTACATCATATTTTTTCTGCTACCAATATAGTCATGCTGATCATCTATCTAACTCCTTTCAGAGGAAAATTTTTTAATTGAAATAACATCACTTCCAATGCAAACTGAAATTTCATATATAGTTAATTGGGGCCTCCTGCCCTTAAGCTTTCCATAACTGGTCTTCAACTTTCATCTATTTAACTCCATTCTTGAGATTAAGGAAAGACACAGATAGTGAGAATTGTTAGGTCTACAATTTTTTCAAAATGCATCTCAATATATTTTTTTTTGTATGTTCTATATCTTAGTGAAATAAATGGAATGGCTAATCAGTTCTTTTTAAATAAGTCCTACAGAACATTTAAGATGATGTAGGAAAATATAGAACAGTCAACAAAAACTTCTTCCAAAAGCTAGAGACTGTATTTCTTGAATAATGGATACCATTGCTAATTGCACTTTCATCTTTCCAGTACAGTTGGTAGTGACATATTCTCAATAAGAAATTATTGTTCTGTATCTAATATGTATTAAAGGTACTCAGATATCTTTCAAATTTAGGCAGTATAAAAAGAAATTTGCTGTGTTTAAATTTGCTTTAGCTATTTGCATATTCTTAAATTGGATTGATATATTTTTTCTTATAGAAAAAATACAATTTATTTAAAAATTTATGCAGATGGATAAATTAGGTTTATCCTTTAACTTTTGATGAGAAATATTTAGAATTTAAAATTAATATAATTTGCATTTTCATAAATATTCATTTATAGATGTAAAATATAGTTGAAATTATTTATTTTATTTTGGATAATCAATAATCTGTTCATTAAAAAAATAAAAATATCTTAAAAAGAATATTTTTAAATATATATTTAGGTCCTTTGTATGTCATAGTTGAATATGCTCCTAATGGAAATCTAAGAGATTTCTTAAGAAACAACAGACCAAATTCTGGTTATGAAAGAGCTATAGGTGATACTGGCATTACACAGTTTGTGACATATAAATGCCTTGTATCATATGCATTTCAAGTAGCTCGTGGAATGGAATATTTATCATCAAAAAAGGTATTTTTTATTTTTTGTGTGTATTTCTATTTAAAACTACAAACTTAAAAGAAAATTTTATTTTATACAAAGTGTATTCATAGAGATCTAGCTGCACGCAATGTTCTTGTAACAGAAAATTATGTAATGAAAATTGCAGATTTTGGTTTTGCACGTGATGTTCAAAATATTGATTATTATAAAAAGACAACTGGAGTAAGTATTATTATTATTATTATTTCAAGAAATAATGTGAAGAAAATTAAATAAATTACATTTTTAGGGGAGATTACCAGTGAAATGGATGGCTCCAGAAGCATTGTTTGATCGCATTTATACAACTAAGAGTGATGTGTTAGTAAATTTTCTGTTTAATTAAAATAATTTCTATAATTATTTCATGCATATATTTATAAATATTCATTTTACTGCAGATGGTCATATGGAGTGCTGTTGTGGGAAATAATGACTTTGGGTGGAACTCCTTATCCATCTGTTCCTGTTGAAAATTTGTTCAAGCTTTTAAAGGAAGGTCACAGAATGTATAAACCTGCACACTGTTCTTTGGAAATGTAAGATTGTTAACTTATTTGATTTTCTAGATAAGTATTTGTTTCAAATATTTCAACAATCAAAATGATTAAATCATAAATCAAAATTAACTAGCTTTTAAAATTCTTTAAATATAAAACATTGATTAGTGAAAATTATAAAACTAATATATTGATCTCACTTATAGAAAGGCTGAGATTTAAACACAATGTCATGTTTATATTCTGTAATCAAATTTATTGTAAAAATGTTCAGCTCTAATAAATAAAATAGAGATCTTGTTTATTTGTTTCACCATTCTATCTGTGTGAGGCCTTTACAGAAACATTGTTTTAACTGGCATTATTGTCAAGTTTCATCATTTTTTCTCTGTTTCAGGAAATTTGTCTTTTTTTTTATGAACCTATTCCATTGGATTTCATAGAATAATTTGCAAAAGCCCAAAAATTTCTTTCAAATGGCCATAAAAGTTCATTTTAGTAAATGAATCATTTTATTTTATCACTTCTGATGTAAAGTCTAATGATGTATGAATATTTTTAAGTACTTACTTAAATAAAATCTTAATATTATTCCTCTCTACTTTAAATATTCTTTAAAATATAATTATTTGTTACTCAAAATATAGTATTTTAAATTATTTTGTTGTCAATTATTCTACCAAGAATTACTTTCTTTATAATTTGAGGGAAATATTTTAATCATGAATATTTCTTTATTAATAAAATATGACAGAACAAGTATATACAAAAATATGTAAATAAAACCAAAAAAAGTATTTTATTAAGAGAAGATCAAAGGAAAAGCAATGATATTTCTGTAACAGAAGCAATTATTCAATGTATATAGTTACCAATTACCACATGTACTGCACCAATGTTTAACGAAATCACATGGTTTTTGAACCTGTTTGATGTTTTATTAAGTTAATCAGAGCATTACTGGGTACATTAGCTAGATAACTAAGACTGAGTTTATTTGTCTTAGTTGAAATTTCTAATAAGCAACAACAAATGTACATTAATTAAAATGCCTCAATGTCCTTTTCTTACTAAAATATAAATTTTCATCTACAATAATGCTACAGAGTTTCACAGAAAACAATTTTTTATTTTATTAAATAAAATAAAAAATTGTTTTCTGTGAAACTCTGTAGCATTATCTGTGAAGTCAGTATAATAAGTCCTGATATTAGAAGATACTTACTTGTAGATGAAAATTTATATTTTAACAAATGTACATATTTGATTTGTACAACAATTCTACTGTAAAAAGTAATATTATTTTTTATTTTCAGTTATTTAATTATGCGTCAGTGTTGGGATAGTTCACCCCAAAAACGTCCAACATTCACAGAATTAGTTGAGGATTTAGATCGTATTCTGACTCTGAGTTCTGATCAGGTTTGTAATTTATAGTTTCTTAAATAATATTTTTATGTTTAATGTTTCTTAAATAATATTTTTATGTTTAATGTTTCTTAAATAATATTTTTATGTTTAATGTTTCTTAAATAATATTTTTATGTTTAATTTAAATTTATTTTATAGGAATATTTGGATTTAAATATACCAATTTTGGATACGCCAACATCATCTATATCTTCCAATGAAGATGTATTTGAAAATGAAGAAACTAAAATGAATGCATAACTTTCTAAAACAGGTTTTTTTGTGTAGAGAGTATTATGCAATTTCTTTTAACTAGTCATTGTCAATAGAGATTATACCAAAGAAATGGCATTTGATTTCTCCTACATATCTTCCTAATTGTCGACCAAAGTTCTATAAAAATGAGTTTCTCAAGTTGAAATTTTTAATTTTGTATATTAATTGTATATATTTTAAAATTATAATTCTTTTGTCTAAAGAACAATCTGTATTTTAATGGTACATATCTTTCTTTGTTATTATGTAATTACTTTTCTATTTATTTTTTAATGTGCAAAGTTTGCTAATTACACTAAGTGCCAAATTTCTTGTAGTTCACAGGAAATTACATTTTTTATATCAAAAATAATACAATGATTTTTATGAAACAAAATTTAACATGAGGTACAAATTTAACATTTTGTTAAAATCAGTATTATAATGTATTTTTACATTCTACATATTCTTTTACAACTATTTAAATTATTTAAATATTAATAATATGTAAAGTTTTCTTAAATGGCAAAGTATATAGTTCCAGAAATCTCATATTTAATGTTTATATAAATATACATCATTTAATCAAATTTGTGTTATCATAATTATATGATTTTAATAATTGTAAGCATAATTATGCTAACTTTTTACCATTTATACTCAAGAATATTACCAAAAGTCAAGGTTAGTTATATTTTAGTAGAGAATATATTAAACTTAAGATATTTTATAGTATTCAAGAAAAAAATTTTTTTGTTTTAACTAAATTATTACATTTTTGACTTAAATGTTTATTTTTACAATATAATTTTAAATATCTAACAAATAAGGTGAATGAGTTTATTAAAATGTTATACTGTATTTGCCAATAACTAAAAAAAATTAGACTAGATATTCTAATACAGCTAATTGCTGTTACAGATTGGCCTATTACATATTGTACTTTTGATGTTGCATTAAAAGTTTTATACTGATAAATTTATTTATTGTTGAAATTTGTTCAGTACATGTCAGGATAAATGTGAATACATTTTTAATTAATTCATATTTGTTTTTAACAAATATGATATACAATCTGGTCTCTTTTATTTGGCTCTGAAGTTGTGCAGTTTATATTTCATCGAATTTGAGGTTTTTTCCTTCGAATATATGGTAAATACTGGTATATAGATTAAAATTTAAAAAGATATTTTATTGTACATGGTTCGATACATTTTTAATTTGCGCAAATCTATTATAAGAGCAATTACAGTGAAGTCGAAATAAGAAAATCTCATTTCTGGCACAAAACTGAGTGCAAAAATTATCATCGTACTTAAGAGATGTTTTATTAGAAAAAAATGGAACACGTGCTAGTAATTTGGATTGAAGAACTAACTCAAAGAAAAGAAGGCAGAGCAGTCAAGGTAGCAGCCTACTGCTCTGGGAGATCCGGGGTCGAAAATTTCCCAGGAATTTTTCAGGGGATGATCCACCAAATATATCGGGTCCCATCCCTCATCACTGCCCACTCCATTATTGGCCTGGCCAAACCCACAACAGGTGTGGTAAAAAGAGGCCCCCTTAGTGCCCACAGGGAGGAAAGAGTTATTGAGTTTTTCTTTTAAGTGGCTATTTAATTAAGCAATAAGCTTTTCTATTTTATGAATATATGAAACAATCAGAGCCATCAACTTCTTCCCAGGCTGGTAAAGAATTTTCGGCTAGCAAAGGATGACTAACTGGGTACATGAAATTGGCAGAGGTTTTGACACCTTTAACCATGATGATTTAGACGAATTGCTTGTGGATGAAGTCTTAAGTGACAATGAAATTATTGGTATAACTAGATATTGTCAAAAATCCCGAAAGCGTAAGTGATGCCAATTGCAAAATTAAGTCGAGAAGGTCTTCGACTTTGCAATAAATGGAAATTCATTTTCTTATTAATGACCCAAATTGAGCTGCAACTTGACAAAATTGCAGACCTATAAATTTCCACTGTCGTCCGTCATTCCTTTATCTCGAGAACGATGTTAGATTGATGAAAGACGGGCAGGAGGCTCCGATTAACTATATAGGAACTTCCGACGCAAACCGGAAATCACGTTATTTCAAATCAAATTTTTTCCCCAGAAAGCAGTTAATAGATGGCCGGTAAAACTTTATTGTTAAAGAAAAAGTATGATGTACAGAGACAAGATACTACAGGGTGGTTATAATTAAAGTTGCGCTACTCAGACCTGTCTAGAGACTATTCTCGTGGACGACAAGGCGATTTGAACACGTGACTGATGCAAATGGATTGCACATTGAACAAATCGACTGCTCAGAACAAGAGTGTTACAACTCAAAAATATAGATTTTTCAGGAGAGCCATTTGAAGTTTTCAATTCCAGCTGATAAATCAGGGAATTGTTTAAAATCAATGGAATTTGGTTTGAATGTTAATTATAGTCATTACATTGAGTTGGAATAATAATATTATTTAAATGTATTTTCTCTGTTATATTATTACATATTTTTTGAGTTGCAACAGTTTTGCATTCAAAATGTCATTATTGTTTTCTCAGTTACAACTGTTTGCCATTCTTTTTTACTTAGAACAGCTGTTTGCCATTACATAATAATATACATTTTATATAAAGTTACAGTATTTATTTTAACAGAACAGAAAAATGTAATGTTACATTCTGGTTTTATGAGACCCATGTTGTTCAAACATGACAAACAATAAAAACAAAAGTAAGAAAGTTCACAAAAAATTAACACAGCCATTAAAAAAGTATCACTAATTGTGCTATGGTTTTATCAAGCAAATTAGAGATCAGTCTTTTTCAACACTACTGGAAACTTTCAGAGAATTATAAAATGATGCATGCACGCTTGGAATGACACCACTTTTACACAAGTCCAGCAAATCTTTCTTCTTTCCAGCATCTATCCCTGGTGGTGAAGAATAAGCTGGGTGCAGCATGACTTTGGCAGATCTACCTCTCATTCTTTGTCGAATGTTTAACTTTTCAAAATCCTCTTGCGCATATGAGTGCTTGTAGAAGATGGTATAAGGATCTTGTTTCATGACCTTAATGATCTTAATATTGGGCCAATTCACTAAATTATTATTTTCATTTTTGGAGAAATTGTTTCCCATTTGTTGTGATAAGTCTTTCAAATTGAAGATATCTGCTGTATCTAGTTCAGTCACATTATAAACGCTGCCTTTTTTCTTGGCTAATTTCAGTACTGGTACCCATTGAGCAGGTAGTGTTATTGTCCCACCTTTAACAACTCCTCGTTTTTCACGCTCAATGGTGGAATGCATTGAATCATTCTCATTCTGTGTGTGCCCTTGAATGAGAAATTTGTGAGTAATAGTGTTAATATGGTCTATATTATTTACACAGTATAAAAGTAATGAAGCAATGAATTTATTCTTGTTCTGCCCTGCACAATTATCTGAAAACAAAACTACTTCATTAACTGTATTGGGCAATGAAGTAATGAACTTATAGAGGCATGTTCCAATTTCATTTGAACCTCGTTTGGCCAAGCCTTCATGCCAAAAATAACAGTGGCCCTTACTGTTTGAAATATCATAAATTGTAAAGTTGTAACATGAGAGTTTCCTTTTGTAGTATAAGGAAGAGCACTCACCACAAGGTGAAGGGAGAACTGCTTGGAGATCAAAGCAGCAAGCAATTTTATTTGTATCCTGTTTTGCTGCTTCAATGTCCTTAGTCTTTTCAGCTCTTGACATTTCTTTTTCTTTTATATGTGTGTTATAATTGTCCTGCAATTGTAATTTCTCTGTATCTGTACTGTTCTTATATCCAGTACATATACAACACTGATCTTTTTTCGGCTGATGAAATGAAAGATTAAGTGAATGAAATACCGTTGAGTAAATGTGTTTTTTAGCAAGTGGTAATTCTTTTTCTCTGCAATAGTCTGTGTATAGCCGATACATTTCACTAATGTTTAAGCTGCCATCTAAATACTGTTTGGTTGAATTTCTTCTACAATAGTGTGATTCAACACGTTCAAAAGACAGTATGTGTTCTTTCACATTCTTCAGTATTTCCTCATCAGTTTTCTTTCTGCTTTCATGTTTTCCCCGGAAGTCATCTTCTATTATTCCATCAGTGGTCTTTGGGTTATATAGATAGATAGATTTAGAATGCAAAAGAGTTGCAACTTTATATGCAACTTTCTTTCACCAAGAATGCAATTAATTGAAAGCTGAAAACTGTTACAACTCAAAATGTAACCCTCTTGAATTCAATAACAGAGTGTATTAGCATATTGCAAAACTGTTATATGTACGTCCCAGAGCCATAATAAGCCATTTAGAGATATAACCTTTATACATAAGATAGAACTCGATACAAGCATTCCCATAAGTACAATAACTAAAACATCGAAAATTTTGAGTTGTAACCCTCTTGCTCTGAGCAGTCGAAATGTGAATAAAAACCTTTTGCGTGTTTCCATTTTGTGTTTCTTGTTCTTCACACACCGTTTTTTCACCTAGTGGTAAAAATTCGAACTAAATATTTTTTTGCATTTTCCTTTTCCCATGGTCCATATAACATATATACTAAGTTTCATCAAAATACGTCCACGAGAACGGGCTCTAAACAGGTCTGAGTAGCGCAACTTTAATTATAACAACCCTGTTATAATTATATTGGTGAAAACCTGAGGTGGAGAGCATATATTTTAAATTAAATAAATTAAAAATATGATTAAAAATTGTAGCTCGACATTGTAACACTGAAATTATTTACTGTGACATTGTCATAATAGAAAGCTACACAACAAGAATAAAGTTCGTGAAATTACTTAGCCTTTACCGTGCAGATCTAATAATGAAAGTGATTTGGTACCAGTTCGCAAACGGTGTAGACCATTATCAGATAGCGACAATAATTCCAATGAAAAAATTTAAAAAATTGTTATTTTTGAATAAAATCAAATGAATAAAGTTTGAAAACGAATTTTTTAAAGTATTATATCGATTTCGTTCAGATTTTCGTAAGAATTTATTAAGCATTCCTTTTTTAAGTTTCCAGAAACTTTTTTATGCGGATTTTGTTGAACTTTAACTCATTTCTTTGGTTTTATGCGATTTTAGAAAATTGCGGTACGTATGTCTAATTTTTCAACGAGAGTTAAGTCTTTGCTATGTGATTTTCTGTGGACCCTATCTACCGCATAGAGAGATCCAACTGCATCTAGTTTTCTGAATCAAATAGTTTAGATGATGTCATATAATGAACAATCTGATGATGTTATTTAATTGTTCAGAAGTATACCGCAAATCGTTGAAATTTTCATTCTTTTGGAAAAATTAGTTTTAGATATTAGATACTTTGTTTCATTTTATAAATTCATATTTTGCAAAAATTTTTGAAGATATCAAATCTATACTATTATTATAAAGAGGTAATGTTTGTATGTATGTATGTTATGTAAGTTTGTTTGCAGCAGGTAATCTCCGAAACTACTCATCCGATTTCAAAAATTCTTTTACCAATATTTAGAATGGAACCTCAGGGTGGACATAGGCTGTATATTATTCCGTTAAACATTCATATAAATTAAAAGATATAATCTAGGTTAAGGCTTTTATGTCCAACAGATGGCGCTACGAGTACGACGCCCTAAGTTTGATTTTCTGCGAGGCATTACGCTTTTCTGTGAAAATGAACTAAAGCGGATCATCATCTATCTATCTATATAAATAAAAATGTAATGTTCGTTTGTTCCTACCGATTCCTTTGAAATTTTGACATAACGCTGCATTCGAATACGCACGTGTTTTTATATACTGTAATATACGTGTCGAAATTCCCTCCACTAAAGGGAGATGGTTAAGATTAAGGCTTACGGTAAAGAACTCTGCTTCTATTTATACTATTTTAGATGCGGGTTTTGCGTTTTAATAGGGTACGTCAACAGAATGTACACTAAGAAGGGATTTTTCGATATTCCCCCGCGGGGGAGAGGGACAGAATTAAGGCTTACCGTGAAGAACTTGGCTTCTATTATATTATTTTAGATGCGGGTTTGATTGCGTTTTAATAGGGTACGTCAAGAGAATACACTAAGAAAAAATTTTTCGAAAAATTCCCCCCCCCACGGGGGAAGTGTTATACATTTATAATAGATACATTTTGAGCCACAACAACGCGTGGCGGGATCTAATCGTGGCTAGTTATTCAATATATTGATACTTTGAAATGAAATGTGAAAGTTATTCTGTTTTCATATTAATTTTAATAAAATTTATATTGGTAAAGTTTAATACTTGGTTGATATGCCAAGTTCTACCTGAATGTCCTTTACATTTCTTTCTTGCATCATTTAAGGTTCAAAATGTTCGAATAAAATGATATTTTAATAGAACATAAGCATTATATAAGTTAGCTTTTTCTTATAAGTCATTTACTCTTCCGCCATTATCGAGTAATGAGTGTTTGTCATTTCCTATGGCACAGGAAATGAATAATTTCAGTTTTGTCGAATACAGTACAGTACGTGTTGATGTTGGAAATGAAATAAAATAGCTAATTCTATAATAATGTAACTTGTCGAAATTTTATCATTTAAATTACAGGTTGAGGTCAAGATGATAATTTTAATTAAACTAAAAGATATTATTAAAATTTCTGTAAAAATAACACATTCACAGAATTGTTTTAATTGTATAGTATCTATATACGAATACAAATATGTTGTAATATTCAATACGTTGTTGGTATATAATTAAAAAAGGTATGATAAATTATAAATTAATAAAGATGATAAATAAAATAATATGATATATATTTATAAAAAAATTATTTTTTAATTTGTTGATTTGATTTGAAATAAAATTAAGCATTTATATACATATATAAACTTATTTAGAACATAATATAAATTATACATATCTAAATATATGTTATATACTGTTTACTACAAATTCATCCTTACCTTAGTAATTAGATTGCAAGGAATAGTATGATTCTAAAGCGCAGCTGTATCTGATATGAATTCACTAACACACAATCTATGAAATCGGACTAAAGGAAGTGAATTTTGTCGTTTTTTCCTCCTTTTAAAACAAACGGAAATGCTTATATCCAATTTCAGAATGGGAAAGAATTAATTTGAATTAAAACTCGTTTTTTTAGAAAAAAAATTAATCATATTTAATAAATGTAAACGAATAAATAAAATATTTATAATAAATGTTTGCTGCTATATGATTTTGTTTCATAAAATAGAGTATATATATTTCCACTTATTATTTATCATAAAAAAATTTAATTTTTCTGAGTAAACTTATTGATATTTTACATGTTGTCACTACCACTGCCATAACCCATTTACTGAGTTATTATATAAAATATGCTATCACAATCTCTTGCTTAAATGATCTCAATTGTATTTTTTAGTATGTTCGGAACTTCTTCCAATTGTCGAAAGTAATTAAAACAATTTTTATATTTATGCACAAGAGGCATTAATATTTAATAAGTCGCAGAATAAAATAATTGATGATCGCGTATAACTATTCATTTTCACACTGGACAACTGATAATGAGATGTGAATCGGATGGACTCGATCCAAGATTATATTGTGAGACGGACCTCACCCGATGGTATATCTTACAATATTAATAAAACGAATTACTACATCATTTTACACGCAGAGCTGTCCAGAGGGGGAGCTGGAAAATTTTCCCCGGGCCCGGGGAAAGGGACCCGAATGGGTTCCTGCTCCTGTAAAATTAAAGATTTTATAAACGACTAAAGGGCCCGTTCTAACCCCGTGCCCTTTACAAGCTCTATAAGTAGAAATTTCTGTCAAATTTCGGACGTACATTATTCAGGGCCAGCGCTAGAGTTTGTGCTGAGATAAGGGACAAGACACGCATTTGATGTCCCTTATCTCCGTACATAAAAGGAAAAAAATTCTTCCCTTTTCTAATAGGTATAGAAATTTTTGAATGTTTTAAATTTAAATTTTATTTAAAATAGTTTAATTTCATTTACATTACTACGACAGTTTCACTGTTCGGGAGTGAAAACTCACGAAAATTTCCCGCTCTGGGCATGTCGAATTTGCCCATGCGGTACCGCTGGCCCTGTTCACAGCAGAGCTAATGAAAACATGATAAATATATCTTAACTAAATTGCAGCTTAATTAATGTTTGGTGACCCAAAAAACAGTAATATCAGACTAAATTGCGCCAGGCATCAGTAAAAAAAAATTTAAATACGATAAAGTTTTATTAAAAGACAGTTGTGTTATTAATGATATTTGTTCAATTTCGAACACAAGACATCTTGAAACAAAAGGGTTATATTTGCAATTGATGCCATATTTTTATTTAAATAATCAATGTTCAGCTATGACATATTAAAAGTATTTACTTCATTTTGATCTTAGGTATATTTTTCCCATTGAGTAACAATAGTAAAAGTAAGACTAATCGTGTTAATTTTATTAATGAAGAAGACACAAATATCTAAAACTTTCGAAGATTTAAAATTAGAATTTTGTAATTTTAATTATACCTTATATATCAAACTTTTAAGAATACAATTTTATATTTAATTTGAAGGCCAACTTGAATTTTTTTTTCTGTTTGCAATGGTATAATTTAAGATTTTCAAAAATTAAAACTGCAACTTCTTGATTGCTTGTTTACGACAATATTTTCAGTCGAACATTTACATAAAAGGTCCTTTAACATCTTGAAAGGACATATCAATGCAGATGCGCAAATTTTAATAAAATCAATAATTGCATTGAATATATTCATAAAAAAACAAATAAACGAAGTAATTATTGTTTTTATGCATAGCCAAATATTAAGGAAAATGGCTTTAAAAATTAAAATTATAATTTTGAAAATCATTAATGGGATAGATAGGATCCATCGACATATGTTATAAAGAAAAGTAAATAAATTTTTGAAGAGAGATGATGCAAATCCTTCATCTTGTTTACACACATTATCTGCTCTCAATAATGTTGGTACTCTCTTCTGAGCGGTGGTGTAACTTTTTTCGTTATGTTCATCTGGACACGACCAAAATCCCATTGCATATATGTGCTCTTTATCTTCTGAAGGATAAAATAAGTATATAATTAAAATAATAGAGGAGGAAATTAAAATACTTACTTTGATTAACTTCATTATATTTTTCATTTAAAAGTTTGGAGCTTCCAATCTTAAACGATGGAAAATAAGATCTTGCATTTACGAAACACGAAATAAACAAGATTATTTTAAAGATCTGCATATTTATTAATAGAATATAACGGTTATTTCTTCGATAATTAGGTCCAGATTATTGTTAAAAATGTAATTATCGCGTAGCAACAATTGGCTGAGGCAGATCGAAGTACCCATATTTCTAAATCCGCCGACTGGCAGCGGATATAGAAATATGGTGCCTCCAAGCCCACAATATGCAGACGTCCCCCAAACTAATAGTGCTACTTTTGCATTAAATGATTCTATTTTAGGCTATAATTTTAATTATGAAGTAATTGTACTGCTACAGATTTTTAAATAGTGCTTTTTAACATTTCACTGTTATTGAAAACTCATCATTAGTACTATTTTCTGTTCATGCAAAATATCAGTTTAGAAGTAAAATATGAATACTTCTATATGTGTCTTATTTTGTCCTTACGTAAGCTTTTAATTTGCATTCATTCATTTCTATATAAAATTATTTTCTCATTATTTTATTATTTTGAATTCTTAAGCCACTATTAGGCCCGGGTCTAGTGGGCCTAATAGGAAATCCGGCACTGCAAAAAGAGTCTAACTCATTAATTATAAAAATATGTTTATGTTAAAGTACATTTTATTAATAGGCACGACGACTGTATTGCGGATAGTCCGATAAATCATATCTGCTAGACCATCTTAAATGTTTTTAAAAACGTTTCAAAGTTCGAACAATTTTTTCCTTTTGTTTTTATGAATAGATAGAACTTAAGCTCTTGCTCCTCCACTGGCAATTAATATTATTTTACTTGATTGAATGGCTGCGCAAGAGATTTTTTCCATGAGTAATAAGGCTAGGCGCTGCATGCAATTTTTAGTCGACCAACTATTTAGTTTCATGAGTAACACCTACAGACTCCTATGGAACAGCATCGCATAGTATGGCTCACACGCAACAGTTCAGTCCGCCAATTACAGCAGAATTTCGTTTTAACGGATCACTCGAGCCGCCGAAGATATCCATTGTTCCGAGAATCCATTATATCGTGAACAACGGATTTCCCACACCCAGGAAAATATCCGTTATTTAACCCCCTACATATAAGAAATACCTGTACTTAAAATTATTCAGTCTCGAGATCTCTATTCTTTAAATGAAACATATTACAAGATTGTATATTATGCTGTACACGTGTACGAAAGTCGACCAGAGACTCTCCAGTTCTCCAAAGAAATCTGATTGTAATGCAACAAGAACATCTAGAGCTTACACAAATCACAGTGATTCTGTTCATCAGTTTCATTACTATCAGGACTAGGCCTATTAATTAGATTCTGTTGTAAACACTTATTCTTGTTTGAGTATTATGTTGTTACTTGTTGTTTTTCTGTTGTTAGCTAGTAGGTTATGTCTCTTTTAAAACGGAAACAGATGATAGTAGCCCGGTCGTTCGAAATAAAAAGCTTTATTCTAACAACCTTTTACAGCCTACGGTTTTACATCATCTCTACACTGATACAAGGGGCAAAAGTGGGTGCCAACGCGGTATTATTTTTTTGTTTAGCAGCTCCTCACTTTTTCGATTGCCGCGAGCCTTTTACATAGCTTTTGCTCCATAGCCTGCAGATTTCCTGTTTTTCTGGAATGTCAGTCGGGATCATACTTTGTTCTTTTTTCTTTCTGTTAGTCCTGTTTGATTTCCTGGCTGCAGCTTTAGGGAAACCTCTGAACTGCTTCGATGAAATAAAGCTTCAAGTAGAAGACAGTACACAGTGCGACATCTCACTATGAACATCAGGCACACATCCATAAAAAATGATATATGTCTAATCTCGTAACACTGAGAAAGCATTTTTACGAGCACCGATAATTGCACTCCAAGCATTTACTTTGAAGACTTACAAACAAAAATCTTATTGTAAAAGTTTCTATCCCCCACAAAAATGACTAACTCTGTATGGGTGCAACTATGATAGTTATCTTGATGGTAAAATGGTACCACAAACCGCATAAATTTAAAGTAAATCGCACCGTCTGACTGTGGACCAGTCTCCCCTACATTCCGTAAGCAGAAAAAAGAAAAATTACATATGATCATCAGCACTTCGCTTGACTTCACGATTTGTTAAAACAAAACTCATCCATCTTGGTTTTTATGCCGCTTTTCTGCCTATTGAATACAACAACCGCTTGATATTAGCAGTCATTTGTCCACCAGTAGCCAAGTAGATAAAACCACTGAACACTGATAGTTAGTCGTGAGTTCGCGCCTGGCCAACGGGCTGGCCACGTGGAGTTTTTCCGGTTTTCTTCAAGTCAGTAACGCCTAAATAGGGACCAGTTTCCCATAAAAGACCTACTGAGAGGCACTCTCCTCGACAGATCGCCTATGTGTCGCATTTCCTTAATCAAATAAATAAATAACAATGCCACGTACAGCCCATTAATGTTGAAACTCGTCAGGAAAGTCTTTACTTGGAAAGATTCGATTGCCTCGATACATTGTCAACACTACACTTGGATCAGCGTCAATGTTCACTAGATAGCTCCTCCTCAATCGTACCAGTCTGCTGACTCTTTTCGTACAATTGTATAATACATATCCCAGATATAGAAAGTGCATCATCGAACGCTACGAATTCCCGAAACACACAAATATTAACTAACGTTAAAAAACATCCGTTATTCCGAGTTACGAAGCCGCTGAGAGGAAAAATTAAATTGGATTTGGAAATTAAATTAAATTTGGAGACCTGAAAAACTTCTGTTGTTCAGCGATCCGTTAAGAGATTTTGCCGTGTTTAATTTGTATCGTAGCTCAATTGATTGTGGAACTATGATGTGAACTGCCAGTTTAAATCCACGTTCAATTCCAACTAAACAGTCTGACAACTCAGTTTTGGCGTTCGCTATAGTAGCGGGTTGGGATCTTCACAATGAGGTAAGAAGCAAATTTATAGTATTCAATATATTCTGAAGAGATGGAAGTCCTCCACGTGCTATTTTGGTATGTTACTGAAGGCCCTACCAATTGCAAAAGTCTTCGAAGTTACTCACACTCATTCTGTAATAATTAAAAAATTAGTGGGATTGACACTGTAATTCTTGAGTTTGTAGAATTGTTTTTTTATCAAACGTTGAGCAGCAGGGCATACACCCAGCATGTTCTGCCTCGTTTTCTTCTTCGAATCTCAAGAGCGTACAAACAAGCAACCTCATCAAAATCTATAATGAAATGGAGTATGTACGAGACATGTTCAGAAAGTACGTTACTGTGACCATAACGGGCTGTGATTTTTTGTTTTTTGGGGGTTGTCAACACTAAGTGGTAGAGAGAGATCTCCTGACGGAGCGAGCATCGCAAGAACACAGTAGTACGTAAACTCACGTTGTAGTGTCCAGTCGCGTGAAAGATGTCGGTAAGAAATCCCGCCACGTGCTGTGATCCGTTTCCTACTCGCGGAAGGAATAACACCCACCGAAATTTTTTCGCGAATCAAAACGGTTTACGGCAGTGTTTCGCAACGTGGAGCCCACGTCCCATAGGAGGCAATTCGAAAATGGACTCGTCCAGAATTTAAGTTAACCGTATAGCCGCTGTATATGTTAGGGGGCATAAGAATTTTAGAAAGGATTAGGTGGGGGATAACAAAAAAAAGGTTGGGAAACACTGGTTTACGGCGAAGATGTTATGAACAGAACGAGTGTGTTTAATTAATTAAGTGATGTAGGAAGTTTAGTGATGTAGGAAGAACAAATGTTCATGACGAACAGAGGAGTGGAAATCTTCCATTTTGACTTATGAGTTGGTGGAAGAAATCGAGGAAATTGTTCGTGAAGACTGCCGATTGACAATGGATGAAATCCACAACTCTCCAGAACTCTCTTATACGAGACACTCACAGAACACTCCAGGAAAACAAACAGGACTAACAGAAGGAAAAAAAGAACAAAGTATAATCCCGACTGACACTCCAGAAAAACAGGAAATCTGCAGGGCTATGGAGCAAAAGTTATGTAAAGGGCGCCCCTCCTCACACAGCCTTAGCCACCAAGGCGCTCTTGGACTCATTTGGTTGGGATGTTTTGAACCCCCCGTATTCCCGACTTGGCGCCTTCAGATTATCATTTTTTCACCTCCCTGAAGGCACACATGGGTGGAATTAAATTTTCAAGGGACAAGCAGGTGCAGAAAGAGGTTCTGAAGTGAGGGAAGGAGCTGGCGGGAGAATTCATCGAGGAAGGCATAAAGAAGCTTGTGCCACGGCTCACCACATGCATTAAACGGAATGGCGATTATGTGGAAAAATACTCAACAAGTGTATCAACAATATCCTTTAACTTCTTTTAAATACACTTTTTCTAAAAAAAATATAAAAAAATCTAGTACACTTATTTTCTGAACATGCACTAGTGTGTGTGTGATGGATGCATCACACATACGAGGCACGTTCAGAAAGTAAGTGTAATGTGTTGAGATAAAGATTGAAGTTATTTTGTGTACGCACATACACATGCACGTGTATGTATATTCGCAAATAAAAAGTGTACGAGAAAATATTATATGTATAATAAATATTAATTCTGGATAGGCTTTCCTTCCTCATCCTAGTCTGCTTAAATTGATAGACCTTATTTCAGTCCAGACTCCATGTAATAAACAAAATTGAGACCACGTAGTACAAGCATACTACTACTGCATTAAAAACAGTGGGTTCTATTTCACTGCTTAACAATTTAGACAGGCTTTGATTTTCTTGATTGAAAAATATAGCTGATATAAAGTGCTGTAGTTTAAACGAAGACAGCACTTATTCTCATAAAGCTCTACCCTATTTATGAGAATAAAACACTGTAAATCATCATATAAGCAGCGAAGAAGTTCTTAAAACTATAAATAATGAATTTAAAATTTCACAAAAAATTTCTACCACTATTGTTTCCTGTTTCTTTTTGCACTTGGTAATACTATCCTAGTTTAATACTTAAAATATAAAGTATTTAATTAATAATAAGTTTTAGTTTATCTTTAATTATTTTTAATACTACTAAAGAAAGATAAAAAGTTACTTTGCTAGTCAATTGGACAAAGATTTAAAACATTTTTTATTTTCTTTAATTTGAGATAAAGTAATGCTTATTGATATTTACATTGAAAATAGGATAACTCATAATTCCATTTCACAATGACTAAAATTAGTGCTTTATATAAATGTAAATATGATTTATCTTCATAGAAATGTTCAAAATATAAATGGATAATCTCGTTATAAAATTCTGAAAATTTATACAATAATAAAATATAACTTAATATAAATTAACACTGATATTTATACAATCTGCCAATATTAAATTGTTCATAAATATAAAAAATTGTT